GTAATCACATATTCATTTTAAACAGTTTTCTCCCTCATCTGTTTCAATGCAGAATACATTATTTATCCCATCTTTCTCAGTCTCCCCCAAATCTCAAGGTCAGTCCTGTTTTACAACAGTGGCACTATACAGTATTTGGCCCTGTGTGACTAAGATATTTCACTCAGCATAATGTCCTCCAGGGTTACCCCTTTTGAATAATATTGAATGAGTTCCTTGTTTTTCAATGCAGCATAGTATTCCATTGTGAGAATATACCACAGCTTCTCTATCCATTTTTTTGTTGATGGGCACTTGTTTCCAACTCCTTGCTATTGTGAACAAAGTCACGATTAACATGGGTGTGCGTATATATCTGCTTGGGTGGCAGTAATGGTCTCTTTGGGGTATATTCCCAGCAGTGGAGTTACTGGGTCAAATGGTATCTCTATTTGCAACTTTTTGAGAAAGCGCCACACCGCCTTTCACAGTGGTTGTACTATTTTACACTTCCACCAACAGTGAATAAGCGTTTCAGTTTCTCCACAACCTCACCAGCATTTGTTGCTTGCGGTTCTGTTAAATTTTGCCATTCTTACTGGGGTGAGATGATATCTCAGTTGTTTTGATTTGCATCTCTCTTAGAGCTAGGGATTTTGAATATTTCTTCATGTGCTTGTTGGCCATATGACTGTCTTCTTTGGTGAAGTGTCTGTTCATATCCTGTTCCCATTTTTCTATTGGATTATTTACCTTTATCTTGTTGTGGTGCTCAAGTATTTTATACATCCTAGATATAAGTCCCTTATCTGACATGTTATTACCAAATACATTTTTCCAGTCTGTGGCTTCCCTTTTTATCCTATTGGAGAAGTTTTTGGATGTGCCTAGGGATTTGCTTCTTAGAAGGTCCCATTCATCTATTTTACCTTCTCCTAGCTGTAGATTTTTCAGAATACTTGGAAGACTGTTTATGTTGTAGAATTAGTTACCAACTCTAGAAATTGCCTCTGGTGAATATATTGGTTGTAAAAGAAAATATATTAGGAAGACAAAAATCAGTTTATCAATAAATTCTAAGTTATTTGTGTCAGACCAAATATGGCTAGTTTAGAGTCAACAAGACCTTGTGGAGGGCCTTTGTATTTAAAAGTTGGTTATTTTATTTTGGAGGAACATTCTTCCAAGTGGTACAGCACTCTTCTGTCATTTTGCTGTACTGAGATAATCTGGGGTTTCTGTTATGCTTAACCTTTTGCCACTAGAGTGTCAAGTGCCATAACAGTTGGCTCCTAGTTTAAGACAGATTTGGAAGCAGGACTCTGGAAACTATGAACTTTGAGAAACGACGATAGTTATAGAAAGGCTTCAGGTCTTTTGTTCATAGGGGCGCTATGACTCGTGCTCAGCTCAATCAATGGCAGTCAACACCACCAACAACAAAGTGACAAAATAGAAAAGTAGTTGTGGTAGTCTAGTCCACCGACAGTTGCACTGCTAACCTGACGGCACAACTTTTCTGGCCATTCAAACCTACCAGCCGCTCTCAAAAGACAAGATGGGCAGTCTTCTACTGCGCAATGTACAGCCTCTTGCAAACCCCATTGTAAGGTCTACTATGAGTTTGTTCTGACATAACAGCAATGAATGAGTGATTAGAATGAGTTGTTGTTGTTAATTGCCATCAAGTAGAACTAAGTAAGTGTATCTCAAGGATAAACTTTTTGCCTTATACACGAAGGAGAATAAACTCTACTATATTTAAATAAAGGAGCTCAAGTAACACAGTAATTAAAAAATCAGCTGTTAACCAAAATGTCAGTGGTTTGAACCCAGCAGTGGGTTCAAGAAGAGGATGAGGAAGAAGAAGAGGATGAGGTAGTCTGCTGCCTGAAAGAGTCAAGCCTTGGAAATTCCAAGTAGTTTTACCCTGTCTTACAGGGTTGCTGGGATTCTAAATTGATCTGATGGCTTTTGGCTTATATTTAGAAAAGTGCATCATTAACTAAGAGGAGTTGTTGTTGGGTGCTGCCAAGTTGAATATAAATCATAGTGACCCTGTAAACAATTGATCTGAACCCTGTTGTATCCTGTGCCAAACTCACAATTTCTGACACACTCAAGCGCATTACTTTGTCAGTCTGTCTGATTGGTCACTTCTCCTGACCCTCCCACCTTTCCTTCTCCATTAAGTAGCCACCCCTTGCATGCCCAAAGTATGCAAAATGAAGCTTCACCATCCTTGCTTCCAAGGAGCAATCTGGCTTCCCCCTTTCTAAGATATACCTTTTTGTTCTCTTGACAGTCTATAGGATATTCAGTACTCTATTCCAACACCACAACCCAAAGACATCAATTTATCTTCTGTCATCCTTATTCACTGTCCAGCTCTCAGATGCATAGCAGATGATTGAAAGATGATGATCTAAATCAGGCGTACCTTAGTTCTCAAATTAACATTGCTCCTCAGTAATTTGGAGAGGTCCTTGACTGCAGACTTTCCCAGTGCAGTACATCTCCTGATCTCCTATGCGCTAATGACTGTGCTTAGTCATTGACGGTTTCAGTCTTTTTCTCCATCTACCATGATGTGGCCTGTTGGTCCAGTGGTAAGAATTTTTGTTTTCTTGGCATTGAGAGGTAATCCATATTAAAGGCTGCAGTGTTTGATCTTCTGCAGCAAGTGTTTCAGGCCTTCTTCCTTTCAGTAAGCAAGATTGTGTTATCTGCATAATATAGGTTATTGATGACTCTTCTTCCAATCCTGATGCCACATACCTCTTTATAGAGTCTATCTTCTCAAATAATTTGCTCAGCATACAGCTTGAATAGGTTATAGGTGCCAGCGGGGCTGCTCCATCGTGGACAGATTTTAGTAGTGCTCCCAGAACAAGACAGAGTAAGGAGAAAGATTGGCCATCCATTTCTGAAATAACAGGTCTCTGAAAACCCTATAAACAATAGAGGAACACAGATAACTATAGTATTAGAAGTAGATCCCAGATTAGAAGTCAGTCAAAATGAGGAGATACATCTACAAATACCCCTTAATAATTAGAACATAGAATGTACAAAGAATTAATGTTGACAAACTAGAAGCTGGAAAAATTAAACGGACCGCATGAACATCAACTTTGTAGACTTAGTGAGTGAGATAAAATGGTAGCTTTGGCCACTTTGAATCAGACGGTCACATAGTATACTATGTCTGGAATGGAAAACAGGAAGAGAATGGTGTTACATTCATAGTTAAAAAAGATAATTTCAGGGGAGCTCTGGTGGCCTAGTGGTAAGGAGCTGCAACTACAGTCCCAGAGGCGCATGGTTCAAATCCACCAGATGCTCTGCCAGGGAAGGAGGGACAATCTCCTCCTGTACCAGTCAGATCTGATTTGATGGTACACTCACACAAAAATAATAAAATTTTTAAAAAAAGATAATTTCGAATTTATCTTGAAGTATAATGTCGCGATAGGATATTATCCATTTGCATATGAGAAAGATCTGTTAATACGACTATTATTCAAATATATGCACTTTTGGCTAAAGCCAAAGATGAAGAAATTGAAGAATTTTATCAAATTTTGCAGTCTGAAATTAACCAAATACACCTTCAAGATGCATTAATAAAAATTGGTAGCAGGAATGCAAAAGTCGCAAATATTGAAGAAGGAAGAGCAGTCGGCAAGTACAGACTTGTTAACAGAGTGAGGCTAGAAATAGAATGATCGAATTTTGTATGTTCATCGCAGATGCTTTTTATAAGAAACACAAACAGCTACTTTACACACAGATCTCACCAGAAAGATGGCATAGGCATCAGATTGACTACATCTGTAGAAATGTCCTTGGAGACAATATCAGTAGTCAAAACCAGGCCAGGTGTGGGACTCTAGACCAGTTATTCATGTGCAGGTTAACAATTGAGGCTGAAGAAAATTAAAACAAGTCCATGAGAACCAAAGACCTTTTGAATTGCTGTAGTAAATTCGGAGTAATCAGGATAAGGCAGTATATTGTAGCTGATGTTAGATGGATCTTAGCTGAAAGCAGAGAATACCAGAAGAATGTGTATCTTCGTTT